CTCGCTGGAGACATTGGGTTCTGCAGGAGATCCGAACTCTTGAGAAGAGCACACACCTGTTGTTAAGGAAGAACCCCCCTTCTGCCGCCTGGCAAGAGAAATATGTGTTAAATTTACTCGTGGTGTGGACTTCAGTTGGCAAGCTCAGGACATGTTGGCCCTACAAGAGGCAGCAGAAGCATTTCTAGTTCATCTCTTTGAGGATGCCTATCTCCTCTCCTTACATGCCGGCCATGTCACTCTGTTCCCGAAGGATGTGCCGCTGGCCAGGAGGATCCGAGGCATTCAGGAAGGGCTCGGCTGAGCTCCTGCCGCCCGTGACTCTGGATGATACCAGGGAATCTGCCCGTAACCAGGACCAGATCCTGTACAAGGTGCTGCCTGGACTTGCTGCCTCTGAGCAGAGTGTGCGTGTTGCTTTTGTAATTAGTTTTTTTTAAGAAGACTGCATGGCTTTCCTCTGTAACAGAAGTAATATATGACAGAATCAACACATTCCGAAAGTCCTGAGAATAATTTTCAGGTGAGGAGACTCCAAGTTTGACTTCACTTTGCAAATTATTCATATGACTGATGATTTGGAAGACATCAGATTTTCTAGGTTATGGGAGAAAAGGATATTTACTGATTATTTTAGCTCTTTCTGTACCATTTAAATTTTTTACCATATGTATATTTACTTTTATTTAAAACATAAGGGAAAAAATAAGAGACGACCACTTCAATCAGTTGCATGGAAGAGCCTGGCGCATCCAGCATACAAATCTCTGTCCTTCAGATTTACTTCATCATTAGTGGCAGCAGCAAGTTCCTGTGTGGATTGTGCATGTCGACAGATTATATAGCTTTTCAAAAACTCAATTGGGATGAAAATAGGAAATCGTTAAGGTTTGATGTTCTGGCTCCTTCTGGTAAATTCCTATCAAAATCACTCAGAGGGCTTCCCTGGTGGCACAGTGGTTGAGAGTCCGCCTGCCGATGCAGGGGACACGGGTTCATGCCCCAGTCCGGGAAGATCCCACATGCCGCAGAGCAGCTGGGCCCATGAGCCATGGCCGCTGAGCCTGCGCGTCCAGAGCCTATGCTGTGCAACGGGAGAGGCCACAACAGTGAGAGGCCTGCGTACCGCAAAAAAAAAAAAAAAAAAAAAATCACTCAGAAATTCTAGCTTGTAGAATTTATTTTATTCTTATTTGCAAATCATAGACGATGTATCATAATTTATACTTCAGAATTTTTCATTCCAGGACTTTTAAGAGCCTTTTCAATGTTTTTACAGGTATTTTTTATAACTTCCTTGTGGAGAGATAATAAAAATAATTCTTTAATGAGAAAAAGTTAAAGCAAAGTTACTATTATACAGAGATAATACTGTGTTCTTTGTGTGTTAGCGTTAAGTTCTTCATTTGGACACTTTGCCAACAGCCACAATTTAAACGAGAGAATTCAGGGATGTGTTTTTGTCTCCAGTGGAGTAGAGTATGAGCAGATAAAAACCTTGCCCATCTCTTGTAATTGAAAGCAGTTTAAGAGATTTCCAGAGAAATGGGAAGTGCCACCCGAAGACTTTTAGATATTGTGTGTGGTGAAAATGATTAGTAAGGGTGGATACTAATAATGATGTGTCAGCCAACTGAATTGAGAGACCAACTAAAGGGCAAAGGACAAAGTTCTGTTGTTTGATAAATTTTAACCCTTTGGAAAAACCTTTTCCTGTTGGACATCAACTCATTTTTATGTAGACATTGGAATAAAGTTTATCTATCTATGACTATAAAAAAATTTTTTTTCTTGTTGATTTTTAAGAGTTCTTTGTGTATTTTGGATAATAGTCCTTTAATCAGAGGTGTCTTGTAAATATCTTCTTCCAGCCTGTGGCTTGTCTTCTCATTCTCTTGAGGGTTGAATATTTTTTATGATTCCATTTTATCTCCTTTCTTGGATTATTAGGTATAACTCCTGGATGTGTTATTTTGATGGTTCCTTTCATCTTTAACTTACCAGTTTATTCAAGTAATATTATACCACCCCACAGATAGCATAAATCCTTACAACTATACATCTCCATTTCTCTCCTCCTAGTCTGTGTGCTATTGTTGTCATACACTTTACTTCTAACATAGGTTATAGACCTCAAAATACATTATTACTGTTTTTGCTTTAAAAAGTTAATTATGTTTTAAAGAGATTTAAATAATAAGAAAAGTCTTTACATTTATCCACATAGTTACCATTTTAAGTACTCTTCATTCCTTTGTGTAGACCCAGGTTTCCATCTGGTATCATTTTCTGCTTGAAGGACTTCTTTTACATTTATATTTCTTGTCTGCAGATAATGAATTCTTTCATCTCTTGTATGTCATAAAAAGTCCTCATTTCATATTTGTTTTTAAGGATACTTTTGTTGGGTAAAGAATTCTAGGTTGACAGGTTTTTGGTTTTTTTCAGTACTATAAAGATGTTATTCCATTTTCTTCTAGCGTATACGGTTTCTGATGAGAAACTTGCTGTAATCCTTATCTTTGTTTCCTTGTATTACATAACAAGGTGGTTTTTTTTTTTGTCTCTGTTTGTTTTTAAGATTTCTTTTTACCACTGGTTTTAACCAATTTAATTATGATGTGCCTTGGTGTAGTTTTCTTTGCTTCTTAGGCTTGGAGTTTGTTGAGATTCTTGGATCTGTACGATTAATAGATTTCATCAAATTTGGAAAAATTTCAGCCATTATTTCTTTAAATATATTTTCTGCCTCTGCTGCTTCTTCAGATTCTCTAATTATCCATGTATTAGCCTATGTGAAGTTGTCCTATAACTTACAGATGTTCAATGGTCTATTATTATTTTAACCTCTGTGTTTAATTTTTAAAATTTATTTATTTGTTTGTTTATTTATTTTTGGCTGTGTTGGGTCTTCGTTGCTGCACACAGGCTTTCCCAAGTTGCGGTGAGCAGGGTCTACTCTTTGTTGTGGTGTGTGGGCTTCCCATTGCAGTGGCTTTGCTTGTTGCAGAACATGGGCTCTAGGCACGTGGGCTTCAGTAGTTGTGGCATGCAGGCTCAGTAGTTGTGGCACAAGGGCCACACAGGGATCGAACCCATGTTCCCTGCATTGGCAGGTGGATTCTTAACCACTGAGCCACCAGGGAAGCCCCCTCTGTGTTTAATTTCAGATAGTTTCTATTGCTATGTGTTTTTCCTTAAGTGTCTAATGTGCTATTGATACTATTCGGTGTAACCAGTATAATTTTCACCTCAGAGACATTAGTTTTCACTTTAAAGTTTGTTTCTTTTTTATACCTTCCACATCTCTAACGAATATGTTCAATCTTTCCTCTAGTCTCCTGAACATATGGAATACAGTTATAAGAATAACTGTTTTTTGTCTACTAATTTTATCTTCCATGTCAGTTCTGGATCAGTTTGGACTGATTGACTGATCAATTGATTGAGTTTTCTCTTCATTGTGGGTTGTATTTTCCTGCTTCTTAGCATGTCTGTTATTTTCTTTATTAGATTCAAGGCAGTGTGAATTTACCTTGGTGGGTGCTGGATATTTTTGTATTCTTATAAATATTCTTGAACTTTGTTCTGAGATGTCACTGAATTACCTGGAAACCACCTGATCCTTTTAGGTCTTGCTTCTGCTTTTGAGCTTTGTTAGGCAGAACCAAGGAGTGTTTATTGTAGATGTAATTTTTTTCCATTTCTGAGGCAAGACTATTCTTAGTATTTTACCTGATGCTCCATAAATTATAAGACTTTGCTCTCTGGTTGATGGAAATAGGCACTATTCCCAGCCCTGTGTAAGCTCTGCCTATTGTCCCCTGTAATCCTTCTGAGTGGTTCTTTACCTGGACGGTTTCTTCACATGAATGAGCTGATCAGTACTCAACTGAATACTAGAGAGAGGAGCCTCTGCAGATCTCCAGAATTCTCTCTCTGTGCACCTCTCTCTTCTCTGGTACTCTGCCCTGAAAGCTTAAGCTGCCTTAGCATCCCTGGATTCCTAGCTTCATCTATTCAACTCAGGGACACCATTAGGCTCTGCCTGGATTCCTTCTCCCTGTTCCACAGTCTCTGTATTTTCTCTAAGCAGTGTGCAATGGCATTCATAGAGCTCACTTCGTTGTTTTCCATCTCTGAGGAATGACTATCCCATCCATTGTCTGAGGCCCAATGTCTTGAGAACCATTGTTTCATATGTTGTTTTTTTGTTGTTGTTGTCCAGATTTTTGGTTATTTCAGGCAGGAGGGTAAATCTGGTCCCTGTTACTCTATCTTGGCCAGAAGCCACTGTATAATCATTTCCCTCTTAATCTCTTTTATTTACTCATCTTATACTTTAATTCCAGAAAAGTCAATCCTGCTGATGGTTGCCAAGAGAGCCAGAAAAGGGCTTCAGCTGAAACACTACTACTACCTACACCCAGAATCTGGAAATACATAAAATTTCCCAGCTATGATTTCTCTTCACTCATTAGAGGAGCCTATAACTATCTGACCTCCATGAGGGCAGAGACCCCAACTAATGCAACTCTGTATCTCCAGCATCCAAAAAGGTAAATAGATAAAAGTATGTTTTTCATTAGGCAAAACTAAACATAGGAATTCCATCATATCATCATCCTCATAAAAGTAGCTATGTGCTTAGCAGTTTACTTACATTATCTTATTCAAACCTCACAATGATCATTTTAGGTGTGCATCATTCTTATTTTACTGATAAAGAAACCAAGACTTGGAATAAATAGCTTCTATAATAATACCATGCAACTAGTTTGTGGAAGAAATGGAATTCAAGTGACATCTCTAACCATGCTCTTAACCTCTATGTAATACCATGTTCTATAAAGTTATTCTAAACCACAGGCTTCCTTGCTAAAAGGCTAACCTCAGATTGTGCAGTCTAAAGTACCACACCTACCCATTGTGTACTCAGGGTTCTCATACATCAATATGGAAGATTTCCACCAAAGTACCTATTATTACTTTACACTTACCTGCTTCACCTCACGTGAGCAGTGGTGAAGAAATCTGTTCTGGGTGATCTCATGAAATGATTTATGCAGCTTGGTCCCAAATTCCTGTGTGTCAGCTGCCTAAAATGGGCCAGAGACAGAATATGTTGAGTTCCAGAACTGGCAACCAAAGGGTAAGTACCCACAAGAAGTTTACATGGGGAGAGATCGAGACTAATAGAAAGGCAAACCACTGATATCCTTCATGTTGTGTTAGAAGTTTCCTTAGTTCTTGTGGACACAGGATAAGTAGAAAGAAGGTCTGGGATACTTGACATGAGACAGGTAGTTGTGGCTCCCATATATCTTCCAATTTCTGTTACCTAAGCAAGATCTTTCAAACAAGGTCTTTGTTCTCCTATCTCCATAGGAGATAAATATCCCAGAGATCCATCTGTTCGTGAAGAGGTTATATAAACTGCTCTCCTCTAAAACAAGTTCCAAGAGAACAGAGGTTCTACTGAACAACTAAGGCTGATATAGGTACTTTTCCCCAGATAAATCTTTCAGGGAGGAAAGGAACAGTAATTTAGTTTGCATCCATTAAGAAATGGGTAACAGCCTCTACTTTTTAGAATAGAATTGTATTGATAGGATATTAGAGTTAAAAGGGGCCAGAGTAATCACCTAATACAACACACTCATTTCATTTCATTTTATTTTTATGTATGTATGTATGTATGTATGTCATGAAGAAAAGCGCAGTGTTTATTGTAAGGCACCATACAAGGAGTCCAGGGTAGCTAATGCTCCAAAAAACCTGAACTCCCTGATGGGTTTCAGGGGGGTATTTTTAAAGGCCAGGTGAAGGAGGGAGTTGCAGGTTATGTGATCAGCTCATGCACAATTCTCTGATTGGTGGATGGTAAGGTAACAGGGTGGTGTCACAGGAGTTAACATTATCAGTCTTCAGGCTCCAGTAGGTCTGGGGGCTACTGCTCATGGTCATCAAGTAGTTAGAATCCTCCATTTGGTGAGGGTTTTTAAAACATATATAAAACAACTCAGGAAATGTGTATCATATACTGTTATCTAGGTACCTCAGAGAGGAGCGAAAGCAGAGGACATGGGTGGAGGGGTCCTCCCCTATAGGAAAGGCCCCATAGGCTCCTGCTCAGTTACAGTTTCATGCAGCTTTCCATAATTCTATTTAGAACAAAATACATATGCATGCTCGAGCAATGAAATATAAATTGCATAATTTCAGTAATGCCACATACCACTTAAATGCTTTTATATGTGCATTTAAAACTGGCACCACACAGAATGAAAATGAATAAAATTTATACAAATAATGTAAAATTTTAATTTTTCTTTACTTAGAACATTAACTAGCAAATAAAAAACACCAGACAAGTCAAATGAAACTGCAGAAGAAATTTAAAAGCTTTATACTTTACTATCTTTACTGTTTCCCCCCTTTTTTGCATTTTGCAAGGGCCCCCAAAATTGTGGCGCTACCCCTGACTATAAAGGAGCAGCCCTGGGGAACTTGGGGATGAACACACTAATTTTATAGATGAGACAACTGAAATTCAAAAAGGAGAAGTGACCCACCCAAGATCTCATAGCCAGTTAGTATGAAAGTTAGGGCTGACTTTCACTGTGCTACCCACGTGACCCAGAAAGTTGAAGCTGTGAGAAGATGCACTAGATTATAAAGGTTTTATACATTTTGACCCATTACCATTTATAGAAATTTATTCTAGGAAATAATTCAAAAGAAGCAAGCGATCACATATAGGTATTAACTGAAGCACTATTGGTTGGCAGAAAAAATGTAAACAACTTAAATGTCTGTCATTAGGGGAATGGTTTATTAAATTATATTAAACTAATACAGTTGAATATTGGTTAACCAATACAAATTTTAAGACTGTTGAAATAGGGGAAAAGGTCAAATTATATATGAATATAAAATACTTTGGTTATGACTATATAGTATAATGTATATGATATAATATGCAAAAATTAAGTGATAAAGTTTATTAGTTATTATTTTACATTTTATGTATATTACACTATCTTTTCAAGAAAAAAAGTACAAAAAAATGAAGTGACATGGAAAGAATGTGTTATCCCTCTGATAATTTGGTCAGCACACACTGGAAGGAAGGAAGGAAAAAAACCAACATTTATTAAGAATCTACCATGTGTAAAAATGGGCAGAAGACCTAAATAGACATTTCTCCAAAGAAGACATACAGATGGCCAAGAGGCACATGAAAAGCTGCTCAACATCACTAATCATTAGAGAAATGCAAATCAAAACTACAATGGGGTATCATCTCACACCAGTTAGAACGGGCATCATCAGAAAATCTACAAACAAATGCTGGAGGGGGTGTGGAGAAAAGGGAACCCTCTTGTACTGTTGGTGGGAATGTAAATTGATACAGCCACTATGGAGAACAGTATGGAGGTTCCTTAAAAAACTAAAAATAGAATTACCATATGACCCAGCAATCCCACTACTGGGCATATACTCAGAGAAAACCATAATTCAAAAAGACACTTGCACCCCAGTGTTCATTGCAGCATGATTTACAATAGCCAGGTCATGGAAGCAACCTAAATGCCCATCGACAGACGAATGGATAAAGAAGATGTGATACATATATACAATGGAATATTACTCAGCAATAAAAAGGAATGAACTTGAGTCATTTGTAGAGACTGTCACACAGACTGAGGTAAGTCAGAAAGAGAAAACAAATATCATATATTAACACATACATGTGGAATCTAGAAAAATGGTACAGATGAACCAGTTTGCAAGGCAGAAATAGAGACACAGATGTAGAGAACAAATGTATGGACACCAATGGGGGGAAGCAGGGGTGGGGGTGGGGGTGGGATGAACTGGGAGATTGGGATTGACATATATACACTAATACATATAAAATAGATAACTAATAAGAACCTGCTGTATTAAAAAAATAAATAAAATAAAATTCAAAAAAATAAAATAAAATACTAGCCATTGCATACTACTTAAGACAATTTAAGATGAAATGTATTAAAACTTAAAACTTTAGCATTAAAAAAGAATCTACAATGTGTTATGCAGGTTCACACTTAGCTGTCAACTTCATAATAACCCTGTGAGGTACTATAATTTTTTTCTAATTTGTAGATGAAACTCAGAGAAGTTCAGTACAGGCCTAAGTCCACCTAGCTAGTAAACAAGTGAGCCAAAATTTGAACTCAGGCCTTTGATTCCAAACCTTGTTACACTATTCCATACTGCCAAACACATGTAATGCTTATGGTTGCTCAGTTATTTTCAGTATATTCTGTTGCCATGAGGTAATAGAACATTCTTCAATAAGAAATTGGGAATCACTGATCTAATCCTAGCTCTGCTTATAACTACCTGTATGATGGAAGGGAAACAGAAATTTTAAATAACTCGTTTTCTCATTTATAAAATAGTATATACATCACTATCCATTCAACAAACATTTCTTAAAACACTTACTTATGTAGAATCATAGGAGGATCAAAGTAAATAATGTTTCTAAGAGCACTGCACATATTACTAAGATAGGTAGTAGAATGTCATTAAAACCCTGGCACTTTTAAGCATCCCCAATCTCTTACTAACTTGAAGCGTCTGGAGGCATGTCTTTCGGAAGCTGCTGCTGGTGCTTCCAGTCACGATACTCATGATGGAATTCACAGCCACTGAGAGTGAGGCCTGTAGTTTCTGATGAGCCTAGAGAATAAAACAAGGAAGTGGGAGACCGCAGTTTATAATAATACCAAACTGCTGGTCCAGAGAATCCCAAAGGGACCAAAGATTTGTCAGAGCAGGATTTCAAAAATTCTTCCCCCTCCACCAAAAATACTTACTGAGATCATGACATACAAAGGACACTTAGACTTATTGACATAGATACATTCAGAAAAGACACGCAGTAAGACACTGAGCAACAAAACAGATATACTTATTATTAAAAAACAAAAAGCTTTAAGCTTTACTCTTTTAGTATAGTTGTCTTTTCCCTGAAAAGGAGGCCATATGAAGTAAGAAATGTGTTACCAAAAGTACACAGGATGGAGGGATTCAAAAAGTCAGGTAAGGGGCTTCCCTGGTGGCGCAGTGGTTGAGAATCTGCCTGCTAATGCAGGGGACACAGGTTCGAGCCCTGGCCTGGGAAGATCCCACATGCCGCGGAGCAACTAGGCCCGTGAGCCACAACTACTGAGCCTGCACGTCTGGAGCCTGTGCTCCGCAACAGGAGAGGCCACGACAGTGAGAGGCCCGCGCACCGCGATGAAGAGTGGCCCCCGCTTGCCACAACTAGAGAAAGCCCTCGCACAGAAAAGAAGACCCAACACAGCCCAAAATAAAAATAAATAAATTAAAAGAAGGCTCAACATTAAAAAAAAAAAAACTCTGGCTGAATCATGAAGAAAAAAAACCAGTCAGGTAAGAAGACAAAGTGATGTTATAAAGGATTAGGAAATGGGGGAAGAATGTAAGATTTAGTGAAACAGCAGCTCTAGACACATGTGTGGGAAGGGGAAATATATAGATAAGAAAGATATACATTGATGTAAGCTTTTATATATAGGATGGATAAATAACAAAGTCCTGTATGGCACAGAGAACTATATTCAATATCATATGATAAACCATAATGAAAGAGAATATAAAAAAAGAATGTATATATATGTATAACGGAATCACTTTGCTGTATAGCAGTAACTAACACAACATTGTAAATTGACTATACTTCAATAAAAAAAAAATTTCAGGCCAAGTGCATGCATGTGCTTTCAATTTACCCAGAACTTGTAGTCAATAATATAGCACTTCAATGTGTGAAAGAGGGAAGAAGACATTAATGACACTACAAATTAATATACAAAAATACTTCAAGGTGTAAAACTACCTAGAATGAATATAGTGTCCTGGGTTCAGTGTTTACTGTTCCTCTTTTATAAATGTTTTCCTGTCCCCTGGTATAATGGGAGTGGTGAAAACAAACTAACAGGCAGGCAAAACCAAGCTCATTTTGCTTGTGAAAAAACACACTCACATTGTAAGTCAAGTGTTCAAAAAATAAAATAAAATTTGTTCACACTCAAAAAAAAAAGAAAAGAAAAGAGGTATGTTATCAGTCATTTCCCCTGGTCTACTGTTCTGCCCATATTTATTCAAACTCACCTACTAGGAGATAAGACTTAAGGAAGCTGGTTACAGTGACCCATCTAAGTTAAAGCCCGAGTTCCTAGGCTAGATGCAGTTTATAAGACCAGCCCAGGTGGGGACTTCCCTGGTGGCGCAGTGGTGAAGACTCCACACTCCCAATGCAGGGGGCCCCTGTTCGATCCCCATGCCACATGCATGCCGCAACTAAGACCCAGTGCAACCAAATAAATAAGTAAATATTTTTAAAAAGATCAGCCCAGATGACCAAAGAGAGGAAGAAGCATTCAGGGAGAAAGGGCTCTCAGGCCCTGTCTGCCATATACTCTATCTTTTTCTTAGAGAAAGGAGAAAGGGAGTTGTGAATTTCTTATTACCTTGACAGCCTGGTGATGCTGCTCCAAGGCCTGATCCACAGCGACCTGGATGGAATCTTGCACCACACTGTGGCTCTCCATGAGAATGGCACTGAGATGAGTTGTGAGCAAAGTGTGGACTCCTAAGGGGAGGGAGAATGTTGGTAACCTTGAGTGAGAATGACCACTTCAAGACTGCTGTTCATATGCTGTGAGTCAGGGCTGAGAATGGGAAAGAGGCTGCTTGGAAAAAGAAGCCACTTCTGCCTATCCAGAGATAATTACTTTTTTAGACAAAAACCCCCAGCAATTTACAAACCTACCCAATTCCCACTTACAAATGAATGAAAGCTCACTAAAATTAAAGTGAAGAATGACATTATTTTTAAAGAATCAAATGAGGGATCCTGTTTAATTCACATCAGAAACAGAAATATATGCTATATACTATAAACAATGATACTGGTGGCTTCCAAAGGAAAAGAAAAACCTCCTGGAGAGTATGTCTAACTCTACTCTGTTCCTATTTGAGCGTCACTGTTATGGTGAGCCACTGCTACTGTCAGGGTATCAATCCTTTTAGATACGCTGTGGTATAGAAAAAGTTAAGGGCTTCCCTGGTGGTGCAGTGGTTAAGAATCCGCCTGCCAATGCAGGGGACACATGTTCGAGCCCTGGTCCCGGAAGAATCCCATATGCTGCGGAGCAACTAAGCCCATGCAGCACAACTGCTGAGGCTGTGCTCTAGGGCCTGTGAGCCACAACTACTGAGCCCATGTGCCACAACTACTGAGCCCACGTGCCTAGAGCCTGTGCTCTGAAACACGAGAAGCCACCGCAATGAGAAGCCCATGCACCGCAACAAAGAGTTGCCCCCACTCGCCACAACTAGAGAAAGCCCACACACAGCAACAAAGACCCAATGCAGCCAAAAGTAAATAAATGAAATAAATTTATTTAAAGAAAAAGTTAAAACTCACAATCTGAGAATTGCTGGTATAAGGTCTTTTTAAATGAGGGACTATCTCTGATAAAGTAACCATAGGCACCACTGCTCAGCATCCTTCAGAAAAGCTAACACGTGAGACCGATGGGCAAAATACGTCATTAAACAATATGCCAGCATTGATGATCCTGATACAACCAATACAGGAAGACAAATTTATTTTGGGGGGCACCTGGAGAAAATGCTTCTTAATTAATCTTTCTTCTTTCAGTGTTTTTCTACTCCCTGTATGGTCTGTTCAAAGGTAAGGCTGGCTGGCTTTTCTCAGGGCTGCAATTAAAATGCGAGTCAGAAAAAAAAATGCAAGTCAGAAGGAACATTTTCTACCACAAGGTACCATGATGCTTTCCTGGAAGGGAAGGGAAGAATTGCTCTGCTCAAAAGGGGTCTGGAACTGGAATCAAGAGAATATAGATTCTAGCGTCAATTCTACTATCAACTAATAGTGACCAAGTCACATCACTTTTCTCATTTTAGTACAGAAAGTGCCTTTATACCACCTACTTTCATGGGTATTTTGTGCAGATAAACTGGGATAATATATATAAAGTGTTTTGAAATGTACATTGCAATATTCAAAGAGAAAATATCGCTTTTGCTATGATATCATGTGGATTACTATTTTCTATAGTTTGGTCCTAAGAATAGCCTTAAGAAATCAGTTGAAGCCCCTTTGAAAGCAGCCATTTAATTAAAAAGCTATAGTTTCATCCCTAAAACTGCTGATACCACCAGATGCCTTTAACACTGTGGCAAAATGAGTTAATCATAGAAAAGTTACCATGACAAGGTAGGCAGAAGGCCAATTAAGTGATTTTCTTTTTTAAGACACATGGAAACAGACTGTAGTTCTGCACAAGCTGTTTCCTAAAAGGAGCTCTGGAGAAAGCTTTCAAGGATCTGAGAAAGAAGAGGGGGAATAGAAAATAAAATTACTACATATATCTATATCCATGTATCTATACCTACCTACCCTTACAGTGCATCTCCTTCAAAGGCTAGTCCTAAACTCTCAGATGTATAAGGAAATTTTAAAAGATAACTACTATGTTTACTAATGCAGTGATGGATTTCTGTTTAATCCAGTACTGAGTACCACTACCTGAGATACTGCAGGCCTTCAGAGTCAAGCTAAACAGAGGTGTACAAACGATCACAGTACTATAATAATGATAGTAACCCTGGTTTCTGAGGAAGTATGTTTAATAGGATTCAGAATGTGGTACCAGATTTTATGTCATCCTAGGGAAGACTGAACATGGTGCTCCCTCTAGCAGACCAACCTTAAAAAAAAAAAAAAAACAAACTGCCAAAGATAGCAGATCTTACATCTTAAGAGGGTCTTTAGACTTGGAAGGGCCTTTGATAGCACCTAGTCTAACAATCTCATGTTAAATATATGAAAAGGAAGGATCAGATGATTTATGCAACTTGCTTCCCAAAAAATCATTAAGGGATTTGGTAGCAGAACTAAAATTAAACCCAGGTCTCTTGATTGTACCCTGAAGTCCTTTCCACCATACTAAGCTGCTTCTCTTATGAGTCTTTGTCCATGCCAGCACAGGTGGGATAATAGTCCTAGGCATTCTCACCTTTGACCTCCTTGCTGGAAGCCTCATTAGTTTGAGTCTCTTCTGTGTTCCCATTCCAGGGCCTTAATGAATGGAACAGTGGGGCACCAGAGAACACCAGCTCCTCAAATAAAAGAGTTACAAGCCAGAGCCCTGGAAAGCAGTGCTTCTATCCTAAAGAATATATACATGATGGAAAAAGGTAGGAGAGGCATGCAAGGCTGGCAGTAGAAAGAATCCCACAGGTTCAACAAATAGTTGTCAGCAATGTGAGGTCCTCTGATCTGGTGTTGTAAGCTGTCTCATTTCTCTTATGACTCAGTGGAAGCAGGGCCACACCAAATAGCACTGGAATGCCTAGAGAGTAAAGTCCCAAGAAAAAACAGTCGCCCACAAAGAAAGAATAACCCAGAAACATATCAGGAACACCAAAAGGAAGGCTTATGAACATTTCCCCAGACATTTATAAGCTCCACTTCTTGCTTCTTCCTTCAAAGTTTAGGAGGGCACTGAGAACACTTAAATTTATGTCTCAGGCTTTATTGGATTAAAATGCATAAGCCGGGCTTCCCTGGTGGCGCAGTGGTTGAGAGTCCGCCTGCCGATGCAGGGGATACGGGTTTGTGCCCCGGTCCGGGAAGATCCCACATGCCACGGAGCGGCTGGGCCCGTGAGCCATGGCCGCTGAGCCTGCGCGCCTGGAGCCTGTGCTCCGCAACAGGAGAGGCCACAACAGTGAGAGGCCCGCGTACCGCAAAAAAAAAAAAAAGCATAAGCCAACTCTCATACTCATACTCAGTGGTTTTCAAACTTTACTATGTTTAGGAATCACCTGAGAATCTTGTTTAAAATGCATATCCTTGAGCCATACCAGATTTTTACATTAGCAAAACAATGAGTTAATCCTTGCCCAGAAGCTGCACATTTTCAAATACTCCAGGTGATTCTGATGCATGTGTTTCACGGACCACAGAACAGTGAAATCACTGCTTTACCACTAACAGAGAGAACCTTCGGATAACAGGTTATCACCTATCTGCTAGATAAAGGCCAAAGGCATTTGTATGCCTGAACAAGGACAATTTCTCCCTTTCCAGAGGTTGATGTGGCAATCACACAAAGCCATTCATACCAATGTACTCCCACAGCACCTCGTGTTCAATCTGAGATGTTGCATTAAGGCCAAGTAAAACTGATAACTTTTCTTGATTCCAGTTCTCAAGCCTGAAAAGCTTTAAAAACATACTGATACCTGAGGCCCACCTCAATCCAAGGAAATCTGAATCTCTGGGGGGTGAGGTTTGGGCATTTTTTAGACGCTCCCCAGGTAATGTATTGTGCAGCTGAGGTTGAGAACTACCCATCTAAGGTAATATACTCTGTAGGGACCAACAGGAAGTGCCTGCTGATTCTGGTCAACCAAATCTGGGAATGTCATCATCTAAGTGATGCTTCAAGATATAGATCTTTCCCATAGAGCATATAATTTTTTTAACTTATTTAAGCAAGGTTTTTCATTGAAATGAGTTATTTTACAGAAACACATCTATTCAGATTTATGTATCATGTAAAGTCTCCTTTCTTTATTCTCTTAACATTTAAGCACACCCAAGCTGGCAGCCCCGCTCTCCTATACCTACCCCAGAGTTCCATTTTCTGGACTGGAAATCCGCTGTGGAAGTCCACAAAGAGAAAAAGCAGCAGAGTTTGTCCCTGGGGGTCCATATTCTGAGTCTGATCCCCCTCACTGGATTCCACCTGATAACTCACATCTGGAAGCACCAAATCTAGAGGACAAGATATTACAGAGTATCCTAAGATAAGTAAAGCCCTCAAAATGCTAAGTGAATAAAGAACCTATACCTCAAACCAAGAGGGACCTGAGATAAATCTAAATTTGAACACTCCCTTCTCCTCCTGAATCTGTTTCTCTACCCACATGATAAAAGTAAATAATAGTGACTCACAGGAAGAACATCAAAATAAAAACTGGGTGTATAAAATGCAAACCAAACAGCATTCCTTAGAATTTACTGGGAAGTATTATACAGTAAATTCATTCACTCCTCATGTAACTTTCTAAGGTAGGTATCACTAATAAGAGGCTAGTAAAAAGTAGGTATAGCTAGTAAGAGTAATGATAATGATAACAACTAACTTGTATTGACTTACCACGTGCCACGTACCGCATTAAATTCTTGGCATGTACTATCTCAACATTCAGACTTCACCACACTATGGTATGGAACATAGTCTTATGCTCTTTTACAGGCAAGAAAAGAGGCACAGGTAGGTTAAATACATTGCCCAACATGAGACAGGAAGTGGTGGAACTGTTTTAGACTAACTCCAAAATCTGTGCTCTTAACCACAGTGCTATATAATATTTGTATTCCCAAGTAATCTGATCCCTATGGTCTTTTTCTAGAATATAATCACTCTAGTCCTAAATTCCATCCAGATCCATATAGAGAAGTACCTCCATGTGGATCCTGGTTCTATAATGAGGGAAGGTGACATGTGTGGACATTTTCTACGCTATTCATTTCCAAAATTAACTGAGTAAGTTTAGGCATCACAAATTGGCAAAAAATGAAGGAAATCAACAAAGCATGAAAATAAAAATGAAAGAGAAAAGGAGGTATGGAGAGCCCTCGAGATTTAAAAAATCCTGATAGCATGACATCCCATCTGTTAAGACCAAAAATTATTATTTTTTTTTTCAGTGACATCAATGGTTTAATGGATAGGGGGATCCTACATGTCTGAAGCAAGGTCCTGGAGTGACACCCCACTGTGTGTGGCAGACAGCAGGCAGAACATGGTTATCAAAATCTGGAGAAACTATTCTAGATAGACATTCCCAAAACATAATTATTCCTATAGAGTTTACCTAAAGGCTCTTATCTTATTTACATTTACTTAAAATTTCATCATAGCAAGATATTTTCCTTGCTGACAAATTTGCAACAGATATAATATGGTCTTATTTGTTTGATTTCAAAATAAGCCTAGGTACAAGAGAAGTATTATACTTAACACTGATGACTCTAAAGACATGTCTATATTAATCAAACCAACAAGTTTAAGCTAGCTTCAATACCAGACATCCATTCAGTACTGAATATTTCCCATATCACGTGAAACTGAAATTCATTCTGGAGTTTCTTTTATATTTCTGAGAAACAGAGCTCATCCACAAACCAATCTTGGCAGTGCCATTTGGAGGCAGAGACACCTTATATTTATAAGGTACACATAGACACACATTTATTTATGTGGACACAGAGATCTCACTGTTTTCGTGCTAGAGTTTAAAAAGGCCTTTTTTTTTTTTCTTCACTCTCAAGGATCACAGGTAATTAAAGTTCCTGAGAGCCCAGGTAGATTATTTACATCTCAAAGACACAGGAAGAGAAATACTAATTCCTTCTAGAAAGCTAACTTCCTCTAAGGCCTATGCAAAAACCAGTTTTTAGAACGCCAGAAGAGTCCCATCTTGGATGTTTTCAGGGATTTTTTTCAGCTTCTAAATAGCCAATTCAGTTTAAACAAATAACAGTAATAGACAATAATACATATCATTCACTCACATTCACTTGCCTCACTTTCAGAATGAATCACCATTCAGGTTACTAAGACCCCCCTAGTGAGGGTTAAAACCAGGAAGAGAAACAGGATTTGGACTCAGATACTCAGACACTCACACACACACCCCCAAGATAAAAGCCAAACCAATTCCAAAAGGCTCTCTTTGGTACAATAGCAGAGCCATTAGGGGACACTGTTCTCTTAATACATCTTCCACAGTGCCAGAAGAGAGGAGTAGTAGGTATTCCCCCCCATTGGGCCAGGTGGTACGGTAAGCAGCCATTACCCAAGGGAGCAAGGAAAGCACTTCACCCTCATTGCTGGCCCCATATAAGTGCTAAGGGGCAGCCCACAGCTGTGGCCACAGCCTTATTAAGACCAAACATTCTTTATTCACAAAACCACTTACCTCCAGAAGCCCAAGGACACCCTCCTTTCATTCTGCCCTCTGGAATAACTACCTACTCAAGAAAAAGTGTCTTACCACGAGGCCTACTTCCAAGATGAAGGTTCTATCTTTCCCCCGGAGACGCTTCCCTATACTGGCAGGCTTCAATCTTCTCATACCAGTCACAACTCTAGAATACCTCCTCGCTACTGGTGAACTTCCTCAGGATCCAGTTGAACAGACTGCCTTCTAAATTTCAAAGGATTCTAGCTAACAACAGTCAAACTCAAGACTATAAAGCTCCTAGACATCAGCTCATGGTTGCATATTCCTATTTCTCAGTTTTATTTGTTGGTCTAATTATTAAGCATCCAACTTTCAGTATGATTCACCCAAAGCCAATGTGGTTAGGCTCTATATGAATAGTACAGTCAGCTTCCTAGGTTTATCACTATATGGTTTATACTCCTGCCTTGCTTTTACGTAGTATTACAATTTTTCTAAGTAATTTTATATGGATTTTTTCATTTCATTGGGAAATATTTCTCTTCCACGATAGTTCAAAGATGTCCTTGCAACTTTACTAACCTTTCTAAAACCCCAGAGTTGATGGATTAAGGTACAACAGAAACCCTCTGAACAAGTCCCTGGAAGGTGAAGGCCCACTGACTACATCAAGAGGACCAGGAATAGAGAAGGCAGTAGAAATGAGGAGAACCAGCATCAACACGTAATGCCAGAATGGTTAGGCTCTGATGGGGCTTTGCCTGTTGACACCTGTTTGACTCACTTCATGTGGAATCTCAAACTTAGCCAGACTCCCACCTGTACCCCCCAACCTAAGCCATCAGATCACTAGGTCCTATTCTTTTTTTTTTTTTTTTTTTTTGCGGTACGCGGGCCTCTCATTGTTGTGGCCTCTCCCGCTGCAGAGCACAGGCTCCAGACGCGCAGGCTCAGCAGCCATGGCCCATGGGCCCAGCCACTCCGCGGCATGTGAGATCTTCCCGGACCAGGGCACGAACCCGTGTCCCTTGCATCAGCAGGCTGACTCTCAACCACTGCACCACCAGGGAAGCCCGGTCCTATTCTTATATACACTTGCTATTTATATTTCCTTGCATTTCTCTAATATTCTCCAGAGTTCTTTATTCCTATGCAAACAAAGAGAGGGAGATTTACCTCTATCTAAATTGAAATCCAAATTGGGCACCATACACAAGTGGTATTTCTTCCAGTTAATGAAATAAGAGGTATCTTTGAAGATACTAGAAGTTGGCTGCTCCGGATTTAGCAATATCAGAGGCAGACCTGAAGGTCCATATAGAAATATGTATAGTTGCTAAAGAAAATTGCAAATCTTTAGTTTTTTATAACTGTATTTATATGCATAAAACAAACACAACACTGACCTGGTTCACACTCTCAGAAATAAACTAGTGTGCTAGGCGATTACATATTAAGCCTTTTCCACATTAAGGATAGGTGTGAGGCGCCAGAGGTAGATCCACTAGAATCCCCAGGAATTTATTTTGGGTTTAATGAGTGTGAGCTACAAATATAGTTTTGGGACAATTCGTTTATTTACTCTCCTACTCATTAAATCATAGGTTTGAATCGTACCACAGGCTAAACACTACACTGTACTAAGTTCTGGGGATACAAAGATGAATATACAGATTTAATACTTACCTTCAAGTTATATTTATAGTATGGGAGATACATGTAAAAACCAGTAAACTGTAATATGATATGATACATGCTAGAATGAAAGTATATACAAAGGAATATTTCCCAGTAAGTATTTAAGTATATTCAGATTGAGAGGGAACACTTCACCTTCTCCAACCTACTCTCTAACCAAGACTAAGGAAGGTAGGCCCTTAAATGGTTTCTTTCTCTTGACTTCTCATTCCTACCCTCACCCTCCCTGTAACCCAGTGCTTCTCAACCTTGGCATGTTGACGCTTTGGGCCAGATGATTCTTTATTGTGGGGCTGTCCTGTACATTGTAGGATGTTTAGCAGCATCCCTGGCCTCTACCCACTAGATGCCAATATCACCTCTCCCTCCAGTCATAAGGATCAAAATGTCTCCAGACATTGCCTAATGTCCTCTGAGGGCAAAATCACCCAGTTAAGAACCACTGCCTAAACTTTGTTGTCCCCTGAACCAAGGCTAATAAGACCAGAATATATATTGTCCTGTATCTTTCTGTTTTCATCCTCTTTTTCATAGGGTAAACATGAGGCATTAAGTGTGAAGATTAAAATCCTTACCCAGTGGGGACTGGGGCATTACTGAAAGTCACAACAGAGCAAAGGGAGGCAGTGCCTATGAATGAAGTCTCCATCACAAATCCAAGAAGGCATTAACACTTGAGCTAAGGCCAACACATTCACTGTTTAGAGCCAGGGGAGATTTTAGGTGCTGCAAACTCAGAATAAGAGTGGAATATCCGAAGAGTCAAAATGTGTGAATGTCTTTTAATCGGGTTGTTTAAACTATTTACATTTAATATGAATACTGTTATGGCTGAGTTTAAATCTAACATCCTGTTACCTGTTTTCTATTTGTTCCTTGTATTTTATTTCCTTTTTCTTCTTTTCTACTTTTGGATTGGGAATTTTTTATAACTCCATTTTATCCCTTTTTTTGACTTATTAGTTATAATTCTTTGTGGTATTAACTTAGGGATTGCTTTAGGCTTTACAGTATACAACTCTAACTTATCACAGTCTGCCTTCAAGTGATATTGTAACAGTTCACACATGTATAGTATGAGAATCCTTCAACAATGTACTTCCATTTCTCCCCTCTTGGCCTTAGTGCTGTTCTCACACATTTTACTTCTACACATGTTGTAAGTCTTATACACTGTTGATATTTTTGAACAATTATCTTTTGAAGAGGTTTTTTAAATAGGGCAAAAATCTTTTATATCTACCCAAATAGTTATGATTTCCAGTGCTCATCTTTATTTGAGTAGATCCAGAATTCCATCTGGTACCATTTTCCTTCTGCCTAAAGCATTTCCTTTAATGTTTCTTATAATACAGGTCTCCTGGTGATGAAGACTTTGGTACATCTGAAATATTCTTTATTTTGCCTTCATTTATCTTTTGAATTTTTGAATTTTATTTTTTTATACAGCAGGTTCTTATTAGTTATCTAATTTATGCCTTCATTTTTGAAAAGTATTTCCTCTTGGTATAGAATCCCATATTAACAGTTTTCTTTTCTTTTATTACTTTAAAGATGTTGCTCCATTTTCTTCTAGCTTATACTGTTTCCAGTGAGAAATCTGTGGTATTTCTTATCTTTGTTCCTCAATATGTAATGTGTCTTTTTATCTCTAGCCGTTTTTAAGATTTTTTTTCTTTACTACTGGCTTTAAGCAATTTGATTATGATGTGGCTTGGTATAATTTTCTTCATGTTTCTTACGTTTAGGGTTCATTGATCTTCTTGGATCTGCAGGTTTATAGTTTTCATCAAATTTGGAAATTTGGGTAACATTATTTCCTCAAACGTTTTATCTGCCTTGCCTCCCTGCAGGACTCCAGTTACACATCTCTGAATTAGGCCACTTGAAGTTATCCCACAGTTCACTGATGCTTTGTTTATTTTTTGAGTCTTTTTTTATTTCACTTTAGTTAGTTTCTAGTTTTGTGTCTTCAAGTTCACTAATCTTTCCTTCTGCAATGTGTAAATCTGCCATCAATTTCATTCAGTATTATTTTCATCCTGAAAATTATATTTTTTTCCTCTAGAAGTTGAATTTGGGTCTTTAAGAAATCTCTTTCATCTCTTTAGTTAATATGTTCAATCTTTACTCTCACTTTTTGAACATGGAATACAGTTATAACTGTCTTAATGTCCTTGTTTACTAATTCTATCACCTGTGTCATTTCTGGGTAGGCTTCCATTGATTGAAATTTTTCTTTCATTATGGGCCCTATTTTCCTGCTTGTTTGCACGCCAAGTAATTTCTTACTGAATGCCCAGCATTGTGAAGTTTACCTTTTTGGGTGCAGAATATTTTTGTATTCCTATAAATATTCTTGAACTTTTTTTCTGGGACACTGTAAAGTTATTTGGAAACAGTTTCCGTCTTATTGGTCTTACATTTAAGCTTTGATACGTGGGACTAGAGAATCCTGTAGGCTATGGCTAACTTGTCCCCACTACTCAGGAAAAGCCTTCTTAAGACTCCACCTCATGCCTTAAGAAGTATGAGGCTTTCCACCCTGCCTGATAGGAACAGGAACTATTCCCAGCTCTGTGTGCATTCCAGGGATTCTCCTCTATCTGGAGCTCTATTTCTATGTATTTATTTCCTCTTCAGTACTCTTTTCTACAAATTCTAGCTGTCTAGACCTCCCTGAACTCTGAATTTTGTCTCCTCAACTCAGAGAGATCCACCAGACTCCAGTTGGGTATCCCCTCCTGGTGTTGTAGCCTGGAAATTCTCTATAGACAGTATAGTGGGGCAAACACAGGGTTCACTTGTTTGTTTCTCCTCCTTCTAGAACCACTGTCTTGCATTATCTGTTGTGTAATACCTGAAAACTGTTGTTTAATATAATTTGTCCATTTTTTCTAGCTGTTAAAGGTAGGAAAATAAATCCAGTCCCTGTTATTTGATCATGGCTGGAAGTGGAAGTTCCTAAATCCTTTGACACAATCTCATTGGCCTTTGATAACCTCCTTGCTTTCTGGCCCAACAAGATACCCAGCTCATCTTGTACATTTCTACTTTAGGCCCAGAATCAGCCACTTCTCCTTTTTAGTGAGCAGTGGTATTTAGAGGACACATTCTGAGTACCACGAGTGTTCATTGCTTCTAAGGTTTTTTTAGTGGACAGAGCTAAGAAATACATAATTTTTAAAGTCAGAAAAATTGGGGATTCACATTGGTATTTTCAATTCTGTCTCAAAGTTACTTTTAAAAATTCTTATTTCTTTGAATTTACACTCATATATCTTCTATCTTATGCTAAAAAATTTGGTTCCTAACAATGTTAACATAATTACTTATTTGTTTTTACATAAGTATGCACACAATTTCAATATAATAATACCAATATTATTACTAAGAATCATGACCACTTAATGAATTTTAAGAGTTCTTTGCAGTTCATTTCATCCTTAGAATATCCCACCAAGAATGTACAGTCAAAACACTATGCTCTAGTCAGTTGAATTAATTCTTCTTCTTGTATGGATTATGACAGTAATATAATATATAGGTAGGTTCATTACCTTTTATCTTGAAGAATATTTTTACTGGGTATGGAATTCTAGGCTGATGATTATTTTATGTCAGGACATTAACACTATTATTCTACTACTTTCTGTTGGTATGAGGAAGTCAGCTGTCGGTTCCTCTTTTGAAGAAAATCTGTCTTCCCTGGGTGATTTTAAGGTTTTCTTTTTGTCTTTGATCTTCTAGAAGGTGTGGATATATAGACAGATATATATTTTTTATAAATATATTTATTTATTTTTGGCTGCATTGGGTCTTCATTGCTGCACATGGGCTTTCTTTAGTTGCAGCGAGCGGGAGCTACTCTTCGCGGCAGTGCGTGGGCTTCTCGTTGTGGTGGCTTCTCTTGTTGCAGAGCACAGGCTCTAGGCGCGTGGGCTTCAGTAGTTGTGGCATGCTGGGTTAGTAGTTGGGGCACACGGGCTTAGTTGCTCTGCAGCATGTGGGATCTTCCCGGACCAGGGCTCGAACCCATATCCCCTGCATTGGCAGGTGGATTCTTAACCACTGTGTCACCAGGGAAATCCCAAGGAGTGGATATCTTTTTATTTATCCTGCTTGATTGTTCAGCTTGAAATCTGTTTTAGTTGCTTCAGCCATTAACTCTTCAAATATAGTTTCTGCCCCATTTTTCTCTCTCTTCTCCTCTAGAACATGAATTAAATGTACATTAGAATGTCTCACTGTTTCCTCTCACTGTTTACCTCTTCTGTATTCTCCGTCCTTTGTCTCACTTTGCTTTGTTTTGCTCAGTTTTTGCTATCCTTATATTTTAGTTCGTAAATTCAGTTATGCTGTGTCTAATTTGCTGTTAAACCTGCCTACTGAATTTCAATATTGGTTATTGTATATTTTGGTTCTACAATTTGTTTGGTTCTTTTTAAAATTATGTCACATTCAATAGTTTCAGTCCCCTGGCAAAATTTTTAAGCTTGCCTTTCATTTTCATAAACATAGTAAGCATATTTTTTTATTTTTAAAATCAGTGTCTGATATTAGCAATTATCTGGAGTCCCAGTGCATATTGCTATTGCTTTTGTTTTTGTTAGCTCTTGTTCACGCCTCCCTGTCTTCTCTTGTACCTGATTGTGTGTGTGTATATGTTAATGTGTGCATGCACAGGGGAGCTGGATGTTATATTTAAGTATCTGTTAAATAATTTGAAGCATAGATGCAGTTATCTTCCTCTAGCAAGAATTTCTGTTTGCTTCTACAAGGCATCTGGGAAAATTAGAAATTTAGAATCACCTTAAACCAGTTTCAAAGTTTAAGATTTTCTGGCCTGCCTAAACCACCCCCCAAAATAAATGCACACCATTGAAGGATGGTTTATTTCAGGTTCACCTTACTCCTTAAAGTACAGCCTTTTACTTATCCCTGTCCAAAACAAGAGGTGTCTTTAACAGCACTCCCAAGCTCAGCAGGCCCTGAACTCTTTGGCCTTCTTCTCCTGCATTGATTGAGAAGTTGTCTTAGTCTCTCAGCTACTTGCTCTAATTGGCAAATGACCCCAGGGCAAAAGAGCCCTCAGTGCTGGGCTCAGCTTTTTGTTAATTCCTTTCTTTCCTAAATCATGGCCCAGAAATTCCTCCCTATTCACTAGCTGTTAGATACTTTTATGATGTCTTGGTATTTCATCCAGCCTTTGTCTTCATTAGGAGGGTTGGTCTAAATTACCTAGTTTGCCATTTTCAGAAACTGAAATCTCACCAGTTTTCATAGTTAGCTCTCTCTCTTTTACTAAAACATCACCTCCCTGGAGTCTTCACTGACCATAATATTTAAAATGACATCCCCATCATTATCTCTTTACCCACATTATTTTATCTTCAGTGCACTTATCACTGCCTAACATCCATTTATTTATTAAATTTTCCCATGAAAATGTAAACTCCAAGAGGATAGAATATTTGTCTTATTCCCTCTGGAGAATGGGATGAGGACGAAGAGAAACTTTCATATTTTATTTATACTCTTCTGTATGATCTAGATATTAAGAAAAAGCATGTTTTAAAATATGAAATGTCCACGCACAGTGTTTATCACTATCCTGGCTCCTTCTTCCTCCTTAAAGACATCCTCAGCTGACATTTAACATACCAGGACCTTGGCCCTCTTCTGTTCTTGTTCTTTATACTCTACTACAACTTCCTTTACTCCTACAGCTTCAATCATATAATCATAATAATACTGAACATTTATCAAACACTTATATTATGTGTCAGGCAATATGCTGGGAGCTTCACATGGATTATTATATAGTTAACCCTAAAACAAACAAATCCCAAAAGAACAACAAGAGAAACCTTTGCAAGGGAAAATAAGTCTATGAGGTAGGTATTATTATCCCCATACTAAAGCTGAGGAAATAAAGGCTTAGGCTGGTTGAGTAAGTTGTGCAAAGTCACACAGCTAATTTGTGGTGAATCTAGCATTTTTCACTCCTGTGTCATGCTCTAGCCATAGCACTATACTATACTATAGTTACCTATGGAGAAAACTCTGAGGCTCTAAAATCTATTTCTCTAAATCTGACCACTTCCAAATTTCACACCAAAATTTCTATATGGCTGCTTGCCATTTTTAAAGGATGTCCTGCAGGCACCATAAATGCAACGTATGTAAAGCCAAACTAATCTTCTTCACTCCTCAGATCTGCTATTTATAATTTCCATCTTGTTGCCAGTATCATTAGTCTGTTGGCCATCTATGGAAATCTTTTTTAACAGCTTTACTGAGATTTAATTTACATATCATACAAATCACCCATTTAAAGTGTACAATTAAATTGGTTTTAGTATATTCAAAATGTTGTGCAGCCATCACCACTATCAGTTTTAGGACATTTTTATCACTCCCAGGAGGATCATTCCCCATCTATTTTCTGTCTCTATAAATTTGCCTATTCTGGATATAGAGTTCTTGACATCCACTTTAGCCATTCTCTGCCCCTAATCTCTCCCTAGCCAAACAATGAACTGGTTACCTCATCATGTTGATTCCTTCCAGTGATAAGTCTCTCCTTTCCATGCTCATCACACTTTTAATTCATGCACTTAATAGCTCTTGCCCAGCTCACTTACTTATTTAATTAGTGATTATTGATGTCTCTCTCCCACCCATCCTGTACAAGGCTGCTGGAGATTCCTAAAACATTTAATGGTTTCCCATTATATAGAGAATAAAGTTCACACTCCTTAGTGTGGCACTCAAGATCCACCATATTCAACCCCAAACTACTTTTCCAGCCTCATCTCTCCCTCTTGCACCATTCATTCCATGCTTCAGTCATACTGGATTATATGAAAACAGTGTGGCACTTGTCATATTTTATACTTTTCAGTTTCTTGGAAAAATCCTCAAGCTTAGCTTTCATATTGGATTTTTGTTTTTATACAAATCATACCAGCTTCTAGATACAGAGTTTATATGCTAGAGGCTTTTCTAGAATTGAAACATAAAAATCCATTTTCAAAGACAATGAATTTGAACATTTTGGTGGACTCTGTCATCAAAAGGATATGGAAGCTGAAGAAATCCTATTCAGCTGGTTGGAAAAGACCTTTGGGCAAGGACAGAGAGCAGCAGCTGGAGTCAGTATCAGCTCCCCCAACAAGCCCATTTTAGCCACATCATCAGGGATGAAGAGCATTACTGGATGTCCTAGCACAGGATGGATTCTGCTGCAGAGTAATTCAGTTGTACCAAATTTTGGTGTACTGTCAAAAAACAGGTAAGACAAATTTAGCTTTTTTCCCTCTTAAGAAATTATTTTAAAGGGAATTCAAAATTCTTTTTATAACCTCTAGCATATGCATAACCATATCATCCACCACATAAATTTTGTTGGTATAAGTAACATGTGTCCCACTCAGTGAATGGAAATGGAATGGAAAAAGTAGACAAACTGGCATTTCAGGAATTATAGCATGGCTCCTGCTTTTGCTGCCACTAATGGCAGTTTTATATTCTCAAAAGTATATTCCCTCCACTAAAATTACTCTATGGTTCTGAGCAGAAGTTTCCAAGATCATTCAAAGATCAGCATGATGGGGGTGGGGGTCAGGGGTCCCTGAATCACAAATGGCCTAAAACTGGCCTCATATACTTAGGTTTCTGCTTTTACACATGCTATACCTTCCCCTGAAAAAGTCTGAGGTTACTATTTGATAGGAGTAATGAGAAAAAATTGGGACATCTTTCTCTTCTAGAAAGAATCTAATGAAATTTGGTATTTGCTTACTTTCCAACAGCTCTTTTCTAAACAGAAAAGAAATGTTAATGAACCTTTCCCCCTTTCTCTAAACTAATCAGGTCACCCAGGGAAATATGTCCACAAACATTGACTTAGAGGCTTAAACTCTTTCAGTCAATCTATGATAGCAAGGCTGTCTGCCTGTAGGGATTGTATGAGGCTAGAAGATTACTAAATAAAGATGTGGGGTGGGGGTTTTGTGCCCTGCAGATATTAAAGAATAAAACATAGTCTAATCTGAGAGGTAATTTTGGTCAAAAGTAAGAAAACAGACTGAAAAACCATAGGCAGTCTCTTCAAGCCTTAAGATCCTATGACTACCAGTGTTGATCCAGGGCATATAAATGGAGGCAGAAACTATTGAATAAAGAATAGATTCGCTGGACTTAAACGTAAGTTAGGCATTTTCTTGCTATAATTCATGTTCACTTTTGGTTTTGTGGTAACTGGATAGTACAGGAAGGCAAAGCACAGGGTTCTACTCCATTTATTTTCTACCTCCTCCATGGATTTTTTTGCAGTCTGAAAAAGGTAGAGGTGGGAAGAAAGATGATTTTTAAACCTATGCAAAATGCTAATACACAAGCAATATACAAAGAATTCCTTTGCAGTCATACTATCTCTCTAGCCAAGAGTTCAAGTAATCTTTAAAGTCATTCCTCTCTTCTCATGTCTAAATGGGACTGGAGTTAGTAGGGTTTGTTTTGTTTCATTTACAGAAGAAATTAAGGCATGGAGAGGAGAAGGAACATGCATGTCCTCAGGTCAATTAGAATATATTCAAGGAGCCAGGAATAATAATCGTTTTCAATACAGATAGCTTAAAATTTTTACTTTCAATTTTCTTACAGAGAATCTGACACTTGGCACTAAGAATTGACAACTGAGACCATTTTCAGTTTCTCCCCACATTCATACTCATAGTAAGAGAGTAAAACATGGAGAGGGACAACAATGCTTTCCCCTTCACCTCACATAATGCTGATGGTTTACGACAAGCGCAATTCCATTTGACAGGTTCAGAGTAGGTTCATTCTCTGCCCTGCAAAGCAAAGAAAAGCTTAGCCATATCTCAAAGATTCTAAAACCAACCTCTGCCTCTTACAAATTTTGGCCCATGAGTACCAACCCCAGAAATTACTGAAATTTAGTAACCAATTAACCAAGGGGAAAATGTCTATTTTTAAGTTTTCTCATTTTAGTGAAAGGGAAAGTCATGAAAGGTTTAATCTACTTACTCATTAAAAACTAATCTGGAGGGCTTCCCTGGTGGCACAGTGGTTGGGAGTCCTCCTGCCAATGCAGGGGACACAGGTTCGAGCCCTGGTCCAGGAAGATCCCACATGCCACGGAGCAACTAGGCCTGTGCGCCACAACTACTGAGCCTGAGCTCCAGAGCCCGTGAGCCACAACTACTGAGCTCGTGTGCCACAACTACTGAAGCCCAGGCGCCTAGAGCCCGTGCTCCTCAACTAGAGAAGCCACTGCAATGAGAAGCCTGCACAGCGCCATGAAGAGTAGCCCCCACTCGCCACAGCTAGAGAAAGCCTGCGCGCAGCAACAAAGACCCAACACAGCCAAAAGTAATATAAATAAATTTATTAAAAAAAGAACTAATCTACAATAAGAAAATGTGGGGGGCGGGGTCTCAGAAAATTAGTTTCAAAGTGACTTCGAGTCAAGAAATCAAACTGTGAACCCACTGGAAATAATAGGACAATAATGACTGAGAAAAATTGTAGAGCCACTGCATAAACTTAAGCCATGGATTAAGGACTTACCCAAAGATCTCCATGGAGAGGATTCCATTCACCTTTACACTAAAATTAAATCTAATCTGCAAAATAAATGGGGTGTGATATTTAACATGAACCAGAATAGGGATTAAAATTTTCTATACTCAATTCCTAAAGGAGAAGATATTCTTTGTATCATCTTTTTTTTTTCCATTGCACTTTCCCTAAACATACTTAACACTTATCTGTGTTCAAATTCTGCATCTTAAATACATTGAGTTCTACATTACAATTCCAAGTAGTCACAAATTATGAGGAAATACTACCCTTTTGTCCTCTGCTGTTCTCCTAATGTATCTCTTCTCCCCTTCTTAAATGAATTATCAATTTTTCTCTCTATTGTTTCCATTGTTTTCATATATGGAATATTCCATGCTTTTTTCTTTGTTTTTTCTTCCCCTATCCTCATCTCTTATGTCCTCCTTCCAATTTACTTCACTGTTCTAATTATTTTGTACCTTCAACCTCTATTTTTCTTTCTATATAATATATGGGTAATAAGGAACACTAGAGCCAGACTGCCTCATTTCAAATCCTGGCTCTGCAAGTGATTTAACCTCTGTACCACATTTCCTTGGCTATAAAATGGGAATGATGATAAAACCTACTTCACAAGGGGTGTTGGCAAACAATTAAGTACTGAATCCTGCTTAAGACAGAAAAAGTAGGAAACATGCAAGAAAAAAAGGGGAAGTTATATAGCATACTTGTGTGCAACTTTATGAACATATCAAACTACAGGTAATAATAAAAATTTTAGCTTTCCAGAGTTCAAAGTATTTTATCAAAATTTCCTTAGTTGCTCTTATAGTCACTTTAGAAAAAAAAGAGATAATCAGCAGTTTATCATCCAGGTTTAAAAGAAAAAATGAAGCGCAGAAGAGGGAAACGAGGTATCCAAAGTGATACAATAAAACAGTAAGGCAGTGAAAATAAGAACCCAAAAGAAAGTTCTCTCTATATCCAAGGGCTCTCAACTATGTCACATGACCAACATCAAGCCGGCCTTAGGGATACAGGAACCAAATCAATTCAATATTAAAACTTTTAATCATTGTAATTAAAAGAAAGAGGACCAATCAGATCCTTCCATGCCCTAGAGAGTAGAGGTCTTTTAAAAACATATGACTTAAACAAGAGAATCGTTATTGTGCAAAAGAACAGCTTACCTTGGGGAGCACAGTGATGATTTTGCGTAAAAAATTCTTTATAACCAGGCTATCTGTCATCAAAGTTCTGGGCTTTTCATGAACCTGTAACAACATAACAAAAACATCCACTGCACATACACAAACTCAAGAGCACAAGTGAATTAAATTATGGTATTTCTTCTTATAAAAGTAACTATACCTCAGAAAGCTTTTCAGACATCCAAGGGGAAACATCTTTGGGTCTGAAAACTGAACACCAAAGGTAATCTAATAGCCATCACTTCTTGGGCTAAGGTACCTAATTTCATGGAACTTCAGGAGACGTGAACAAATACCGGAGTAAAACCCACAATCTCAAAACCACCTTTTGGAACAAATTTTAAAGTAATTTAGATTGGAGCTGAGAAGAGTAACTCTATCTTTACTATTCTAATGTGGGGCAATCTGTATTAAGAATCTGAGTGGAGTCAAAGGAGCAGGCACTAAAAAGAACCTATTTTTAAACCTTAATCCATTCATCCAAACATTTATATTTAAGGCAAAGCTGTAAAGCAGAAAGCTCAGAAGTCAGAAGACCTGTGTTCTAATACTGGCTCTATAAAAATTACTTCAGTAATCATGAAAAAAAATCACTTAATGTCTCTGGACCTTATTTCCTAATCTGCAAAACAGGCATAAAACTTAAGCCTTTCAACCTCACAAAACTGTTTTAAAGACCAAAGAATAATCTGAAAATATATGTTAGACATGGTAACAATAATAGATACCACTTGATGAATGCCTACTATCTGGCAAGCAATGTGCAGGTGCTATATCTACAACAATCCTCAAGTCAGGTATTACAATCCCCTCTTTATAGATTAAAAAAAATGAGGCTCAGAATTCCCTTGAGGTCCAGGGGTTAGGACTCCGAGGTTTCACTGCCAAGGGCTCATGTTCAATCCCTGGCCGGGGAAATAAGATCCCTTCAGGCCCTGCAAGCCCTGCAGCGTGGCAAAAGAAAAAACAACCAAAAAATGAGGCTCAGAGAAGTTATGCAACTTGCCTAAGATGTTCAGTAATAGAGCCAGAATTTGACCCTAAGTCTATCTAACAACAATTGTCCATGCTCTTTCCAATATACCCTGATACCTCCATACAAATATAATAAGATTTATCACTTAATGAGGGCTTTCTCTATTCCAGGAATGGTACTAAATATTTTACTTATATTACCTCATTTACCCCTCACAGAAACCGTATTAGGTACATATAACCTACATTTTATGGATAAAAAAAATGAATTTCAAAGAGGTTAAACAACTTTGCCAAGGTGTGCCTGATCTGGCTCCAAAGCTTTAGTATTAACCACTTTCCTATATTTAATATAGTGTCCCTAAAACCGAAGTTAAAATGCGTCTCCGAAAAAATGGAGAAGTCAATGAAGAAGAAATAGAGTCAGAAATCAGTAAGTTCTTTTTCTTTTCTTTTTTTAATAAATTTATTTATTTATATAATTTTTTATTTTTGGCTGCGTTGGGTCTTCACTGCTGCGCGCGGGCTTTCTCTAGTTGCAGCGAGCGGGGTCTCCTCTTCATTGTGGTGCGCGGGCTTCTTATTGCGGTGGCTTCTCTTGTTGAGGAGCACGGGCTCTAGGTGTGCAAGCTGAGTAGTTGTGGCGTACGGGCTTAGTTGCTCTGAGGCATGTGGGATCTTCCCAGATGAGGGCTCAAACCTGTGTCCCCTGCACTGGCAGGTGGATTCTTAACCACTGCACCAGCAGGGAAGTCCAACCAGTAAGTTCTTATTAGTGGCTCAGAAAATACAGAGCCATGTACTAGGTGAATATTAAAGGAGAAAAAAGGTCCCAGACCCCAAAATCTCATAACACAATAAAGAAGAAACATGTAAATATCTAATGAAGAATAAACTATTATAATACTCTTTATGGGCTTCCCTGGTGGCGCAGTGGTTGAGAGTCCGCCTGCCGATGCAGGGGACACGGGTTTGTGCCCCGGTCCGGGAGGATCCCACATGGCGCGGAGCGGCTGCACCCGTGAGCCATGGCCGCTGAGCCTGCGCATCCGGAGCCTGTGCTCCGCAACGGGAGAGGCCACAACAGTGAGAGGCCCGCGTACCGCAAAATAAATTTAAAAAATTTAAAAAATAAAAAAATATATAATACTCTTTATAAGTACACTGAAAAAGAGATCAAGAACTGTGCAATGGCAGCCCCAGCTGACATCTGCCTGCAACTTTATGGGAGACCCTGAACCAAAATTTAGTACCCCAATTTCTGACCCACAGAAATTGTGAGACATAATAAATGATTATTGTCGTTTAAAAAAAAAAAAAAAACTGTGCAATGGGTGGGGATAATTAGAAAAACTATTATAAAAATATTTGAAAGTATTAGAAAAATGGATGGGGATTATTAAAAAATTCTGGAAACAAATCTAGGATTATTCACACATGTAAACAGCAGTAATTAAACAGTAATTGCAGCATACATACCATAGTCACATACTTCTTTTAAAATTTTTTATTATAAAATGTTCAAATAGTAGAAAAGCAATGGTCTCTTGAAAGCATTTCCTATACTTAACACCAAAACAACTTCTTGGAACAGTTTCAAACTTTTGTAACTTTAGTGATTATAGGGTATATCACAGAAAGGGCTTAATTATACCTAGCAGTAAGGCAACCAAGTAAGTGAAAGTTCCTTGAGCAGCTACCAGAGAGGGTCTACAATTAGTAAGGATGGGAACTACCATTTACTGAACACCTGCTACATGCCAAGCAGTTTATATACAAGTAGGAAATACCCCCACTTTATGGATGAGGATAATGACTAAATAAGCGAATTAATTTGTCCAAGGTCACACATAGCTAATTAAGTGGCAGAAGTGGGATTCAAACCTAGATCTGACTCCAGAGCCCACATTTCACTATGAAATGCTGCCTCTCCAAGAATGTTCATTTTCTGTACACATAGCTGTCTATCTATGTGAATCAGATACTATGTAATCTATCATTATTTTTTATGGATGCTGATGGGCAATGCTTACACATGACTACTGAATATGTATGTGTATTTATTCACTGATAAAACACTTAATGTAGCTTATCATGTACTTAGGCTTACAGAGATAAAACAATCTCTGAATTTGAAGAGTTTACACTTAAGTAGAAGAGAAAGACAAAATAAATAATTTATATGACAATGTAAAGAAGCTTTATGATTTAAATATATAAGAGGTGCTAAAGAAATACACAAGAACGATTGGCACCTAATCTAGACTGAGAAGATAAAGTGACATAATGTCAGGTCAGTGGAGGATACTTAACACAAAGCAAATAGCTCCTTTTAAGATCTACTCATAAATTATTGAGAGAGAGAGAAAGAGAGAGAGAGAAAGAAAGAAAGAAGGAAAGAAAGAAAGAAAGGGAGAAAGAAAGAGAGAAAGAAAGAAAGAGAAAGAAAGAAGGAAGGAAGGAAGGAAGGAAAGAAAGAAAGAAAGGAAGGAAGGAAGAAAGAAAGAAAGAGACACTACACAGTCTTTTACAGCCTTTTACAGTTGGGTGTTAGAAACCCAGTACCCCAGGCCTGACATACCTTCAGAAGCAGTGAATTTACTTACATGTTGTTAGGAAAAAACATATGCTGCCAGCCCTGGGCAGCAGAAACTACTATTGAATCACATGTTCCAGCCTTTAAATACAAGTCTAATCATATGATAGAATATGGGAGCTGTTTTATATTTTCAAACATGAACTTATGTGGTTATGGGCTCTATATGACTTTCTAAAAGAAAGTCAGTGTCTCTGTCTCTCTCTTTGCTTAAATAGGTAAGTAGATAGATGATAGATAATAGAGAAATAGAGAAATACAAAGACAGATAGATAGGTTTGTATGTATATATGTATATCTCTACCCATTTTATCATTTTGTATCATGGCAAAAATAAATACAAAAATGGATTAATTCATCAAGAAGATCTTGCAAAATCAAATTGTTTTTGGAAGGACACGTTATCTAGCCTAATGGACTCCAAGATGCAGGACTGACTGAGCATAAACACAAAACCAGCATCTCTCTTAAATGAAGTTTTCCTCAGTCTTCCCTGGAATTAGCTCTCCTCACATGCCCAAAGCAGTGGATCATTTATTACCGCTTTTTCATGGAGGTCTCCATTCACTAGGCTTTGCTATAAACCTTGCCACTTGACCCTTCTTCCCAGTTGAGATATACGTGTATGATGAAATCTTTCACAACCTCCCCTTTTTCTCTTCTCATTCTCTTCATTCAAAAATCTTTTAAATAGGGACTTCCCTGGTGGCACAGTGGTTAAGAATCCGCCTGCCAATGCAGGGGACACAGGTCGAGCCCTGGTCTGGGAAGATTCCACATGCCGCGAAGAAACTAAGCCCGTGCGCCACAACTACTGAGCCTGCGCTCTAGAGCCTGTGAGCCACAACTACTGAGCCTGCGCTCTAGAGCCTGTGAGCCACAACTACTGAGCCCGAAAACCACAACTACTGAAGCCCATGCGCCTGGAGCCCATGCTCTGCAACAAGAGAAGCCAATGCAATGAGAAGCCTGTGCACCGCAACAAAGAGTAGCCCCCGCTCCGGCAACTAGAGAAAGCCCACACGCAGCAACAAAGACCCAACGCAGCCAAAAATAAAGAATAAATAAATAAATAAATAAATAAATAAATTTATTTTAAAAATATTTTAAATAGCTGCACAGTATCAGAGACAATGAGATGTAATAGAGCAAATACTTTCAGGAAATCCTTGTTCCTCTTAGGTTATACTGCTCTTACCTCTCCCCACCTATCACCAACTGATTACTGGGCACTAAGCTCACAGTTCTCCTCTGTACTCTAAGTCCTGCCATCATCTTGGCTGACTTCCACATAAAAGCAGATTACCAGTCTAAGCAACAATTTGGTCGCATAATTCTCTGACCTCCTCAACTCCAACGACCTTGACCTCCACTCATTTCCAGCCACCTACTTCCACGGCCATAGATTGGAACTGTATTGTTCTGGAAGGCTTAAACTAAAATGTCCCACTCTTATGTGAAAAAATATGCGCCAAGATGTTAATAGTGGCTACCTTGATTAAGTCAATTATCTGTACTCTAAATGCACACTTTGATTTTCCTGAGGGAAACACTGCTCCTGCAATAAGGAAAAACAAAACAAAAAAAGAAAGAAACTTTATCACTCTGATGATAAATTTTTGTTCTTTCAAGTCTCTGAACTTCTTATACCCAGAAAATCTGTTTTTCAGTCTCATCAAAGACCTCTAGACCTTGACAACTTCCCATTGGGTTAGGTACCCTTCCTCTAAGCTACCTCAGCATCAGTGCATACCTGTATCATGATATATATTACACTGCATTGTAATTGTTTGTTTACGTATCTATCTTTTCCTTTAGATTCCAAGCTCCTTGGGATCAAGTAACATGTCTTGGGACTCTGTCTAGCACAGTGAAGCTGTCGTGAACAAACACAGGTTTCTGAGTAAAGGAATGAATATTGAAACAGCACTGATCAATATGAGTAAGACTTTGATTCAGATTCTAATTCTGTCCTTAACTTTGGTATGACCTTGGGAAAGTCAGTCAAATTCTCTGAATTTCAGTTTTCTTGTATCTGTAAAATGGGGTGATGATAATCCTTGTCCTATCCATTTCATAGAGTTGTCAGGAGGCTTAAATAATATATATGTTAGGTATAAGAATTACCATTGTTTGTTCAGACTGGCTAAAACACATGATTTCCTTTTCTAGAACTGCTTTCCTTGGCTCACTGAAATCAGCTTTTTTATTGCTACTTGACATTAATAGTTTTAGAGCTGACTAACCATTAATTGCTCCAGATTGTTTACCCTTCGTTCCCCTAAACAAGATACGGCACAGCCACGGATATCTTTTGTCCCGATACCATAGTCATTTCCTTTTAGAAGAAGGATATAATTGTTCCAACATGGAGAAAGGCCTCCCAAGTGCTTTCTGGGAGAACATTTAAAGTACTCTAATTCTTTGTCTCCACCAGTTCAAAGGAAGGCAAGATAGGGGATCCGAGAATTGTTAAAGGGAATGGAGAACTCAATTGTCACTCTCATAAATCTGGGCTACAAAAAAATCAATAAAGATCTTTAAACCAACCTAATAAAAATGTATCTAAATAGGATCTGCACTGGGAATCCATTTTTATTTTCTTTTTCAGGAGATCCAAATTCAAATAATGGTTTACTTCAGTGGTTCTCAAATTTACCTGCACATTAGGAATCATTTGGGATTTTAAAAATATTCCAAAGCCCAGGCCACACATCTTATGGACTGGATTGTGTCCCCCAAAATTCATCTGTTGCAGCCCTAGCCTCCATGTGACTATATTTGGAGACAGGGCCTTAAGGATGTCATTAAGGTTAAATGAGGTCATAAGGGGGGCGCCCTAATCTGATAGGACTGGTGTCCTTGTAAGAAGAGGAAAAGACACCAGAAGGCTCTCTCCACATACATACAGAGGAAAGGTCATGTGAACAGTGACAAGGTATCTTGATCTTGGACTTCTAGCCTCCAGAAGTATGGGAAAATAAGTTTCTGTTGTTTACGCCACGCAATCTGTGATTTTTTTTTTTTTTTTTTTTAAGATTCAGCATGTAAAGTTAAATCATACAGCATTTGTCTTTCTCTGTTTGACTTATTTCATTTAGCATAATGCCCTTGAGGTCGACTCAGGTTGTCACAAATGGCAATATTTCCTTCATTTTTATGTCTGAAGAGTATTCTCTCCCTCTCTCTCTCTCTCTCTCTCTCTCTATACACTGCGCCACCAGGGAAGCCCTGTGATATTTTTTTTTTAATGGCCGCCTAAGCAGACTAATCCAGCACCCTAGACCAATTAAATCACAACCTCTTGAAGTGGGACACAAACATCACTATTTTGAAAGCTCCCAGGTGATTTAAAATCAGCACACAGAAGTTTGGGGACCAATGCCTTATTTCATTTCAACTTTGAACTATAACGAACCTAGGCTTTTCTTTCCTGTTATTACATTTGTAGAAAAATAAGAATCAAAACATCATTAATTTATAGAACCACAGCAAAACTTGCCTCAAAAATCATCTGGAAGGGTGTTACCCCTGACACGTCCTGAGAATAGCTGGTTTCCTCTGAAGTCCAGCTCAGCTCTGCAGAGAGTCCAGGCAGTATAGACTGTATTCCTGTGTGAGAAGAGATGGTGGCAGAATAGAACAAGCAGTTTGCATAAGCACCAGAGTTTCTGGAGTTATTAAACTGATAAGCCAAGAAGTCTCTTCCCTGATGCAAAGATTATCTGCAAAATTTTAAATATGACTGGAGATGGCTATGCATCAGCAAATTGCTTAAACATTTAGAATTACTTTATGGGGATAAGACATTTAATCACATGTTTTCAATTTTACACAAATTGAAAATTTACTAAATCAATTTGTATTTCCACAAGGACATATCCAATGCCACAAATCTTCAGAGTTGATAGCTCTAACTGATATTCTTATATTTTTAAATAAATCAATTCATTATTTAATAACACAAATCCAGTAAGTGAGCTAATTTAGAACTTAAAACAGAAAAATTCAAGAATGACCCTCTCAGGCATTTACCTAATGCCTAATGCCTTTTTTTACCTAAGAGAAGCAAACTCTTGCTAATTTAATTGTCAATTAACCACTTCGTATATTTACATATGTTGATTCAGAACTCTTTACACAAAGCATCAGTGAGTCCTGGATCATCATCAACAAATAGAACCTCAAAGTATGCACCATCCTTCTTTCTTTCTGTACCCTGGCACTAATATTATAAAGGGAAAAAACCCCCAAATCTCCCATTTTATAAAATGCCATCCCTTATTTCCCCTCTACAGTAGTATTAAAATGGAGAACTAAATATGAATAAAAATATATATATCTCAGTCTCTGAACATTCTACCTTATAAATAAGGTTGACAATGTTGATATTACAAAAGAATTCAACTTAAAAATTTTAATAACAATAACATATATCCTAAAATAACAGCACAACTTTCTTCTAAAACATTCATACCATATATCTAATAAAGCTTTAACCATCTCAAAGAAGATCAAGTTCTAGCTATCAATCTTAATGGGTAATATTTTTCTTGCCATTAGTTTGTTTTTCAAATATAATTCAGTCACAAAGCTTGAGATAATATGGCAGCAAGGTTATGCTACACTGAAGTTTAATGAAGTTGGCACTAAACCAGGATGACTTACATCAATCTTCAGATTTACCACTGACTGACTTTCTGACCTAGGGTGACCCCATTTTTTCTGTGATTCAATTACCTTTCTGTGAAATAAGAAAAAATTGTTCCTCAATCCTATAAAGTAGTAATACAGTAAAAAATAGGGAAAACATGTAGATACATGAGAAAAAGGTTTGTCAATAACTTGGAATTCTCTAGAAATCTTAATAATGATTTTTTTAAATGAGTAGTTATTTGGGGGAAATTAATTTCAATTAACTCACTCCATACACCAAAAAAAAAAAAAAAAAAAAAAATCCAGATGGATTGACTAGAGTTAAATGTGAAAAGGTAAAACAATAGAACTAAATAAAAAGCCTTCTATTTCAAGATAAGTCAAGCATATGTTGAAATTTCATCTTCCCATTCAAACACATAAAATGATAAAACAAGTATTTTTAAATTTTAATAAAACACAGTCATAGGGACTTCCCTGGTGGTCCAGTGGTTAAGACCACGTTTCCAATGGAGGAGGTGTGGGTTTGATCCCTGGTCGGGGAACTAGTATCCCACATGCCGCGTGGCACAGCCAAATAAATAAATAAATGAATGAATAAAAATTAAAACAAAACAAAACACAGTCATAGTGAGAAAAAAAGAAAAGAGAAATCTTTATAGACCAGAAATAGAGAAGTATTCTTCCCTAATCTTCAGAAAGGAAAAAGAGAGAGAGAATCCACAATGGTAAGTAAGGACCAAAGATGCCCCATGTTTGAGGCATGGAATGCAAAAAAAAAATGGAGCTAATATTGCAACACCAACAGGTTTAAGAGCAAGAGCCACAGAGGCCACACATAGGAGGTATAAGCAAGGGACCAAAACATAAACAAAAGCCAAAGGGATGCCACCTGCCTACCTGAGGGCTGGTTAAAAGCCAAGTGATGCTAGTAGCAGCATCAGTGATGCAGGATGAGGGCCTTAGAGCCATGTAATATAAGTATGGATGAGACTCAGAACTATATATTCTATTAAGATACAAGAGCCTTTTATCTTTCCACTCAAGCAAAGTTTAATCCAAGATACGTGCCCTGCAGATTAGGGCTCAGCAACCCAGAGAACCTCCTACTGGAAGGCTGTCAATGCAGGATGTGTTCAGGACAAAAGGGTCATGGACAATTAGCTCTTAACTAAAAATTACCAACCAGTGAAGACCAATACCATGAAAAATAGGACACATATCAACCAACAAAATGTATACCTGAGGAAATAGAGTTAATAAAACAATCTGAAAAGAACTTTAAAAATAAGTGCTCTATATTTTATACCCTCAAATATAAAAAGAAGCCATGAAACAAGAATACACTGCCATCAATTAAACAGAAAGTAACAGCCAAAAACCCTATTAGAAACCTTAGAAATTGAAGATACAGTGTTTGAAATGAAAACCCTATGGATGGTAGATTAGACACTGTAAAAGAGCATATTTAAAAGAAAAAGTAGTACTTGAATGTCCATAGAAGCATGATTCATAGTAGGAAAAAGTGGAAACAACCTAAATGTCCAACAAATGATGAACAGATTAACAAAATATGGAATATTATTCAGCCAGAGAAAGAAATGAAGTACTGTTACATGCTACACACTGACATAAATGAATCTTGGAAACATTATGCTTAGTGAAAGAAGCCAGACACAAAAGGCCACATAGTGTATTATTTTGTTTATATGAAATGTCTAGAACAGGCAAGTCCATAAAGACAGAAAGTAGATTAGTGTTTGCCAAAGGACAGGGGGTAGGGGTAAGGGTAGTGACTGCTAATGGGTACAGGGTTTATTTTGTGGGTGATGAAAATGTAATGTTATAAATAGTGATGATAGTTGTACAACTTTGTGAATATACTTAAAACCACTGAATTATATGCTTTAAAATGGTATATTTTATGACATGTGAATTATATACCAATTAAAAGAAGGAAAAGATAAAAGACATTAAGAACAGATTTCTAAAAGATAAAAACACTAAAAAAATTAAAATTAAAGAAATTCAGAATAAAGAATGACTGAGCCACACAGCTAAACACATCACAATGAAACCCAGAATAACAAGGATAAAGAGAAAACCCTAAAAGCTACAAAAGAGAATCAAATTAGCCAAAAGAAACATGAGTTAGACTTCTCATCAACAATGCTAGATGCCTGAGGATAACTGAGTACTATCTTCAAAGATCTGAAGAAAATTCACTTTGACTCTGGACTTTTAAGAGAACCAAACTACAATTAAAGAATGAGAAACTTAATATGTTTATATTCCTTAAGCCCTTGCTGAAAGAACAACTAAATAAACCAGCATGATCTTTGAAAATGAGTTTACATTTGCACCTTTTTGCTGAGATGGAGTGGAGATAAGGGGGAAAGAATGATATAATATCAATATCAAACTACTTATTGACATAGCTCTTCAACTGTTAAAGAAAAAGTAGATAGAAAAATTTCAGTCTTGTGGCAATGTGAACATACATCAAAACCATATATTGGGACTTCTCCTTTTTGCAGTGATGAAATAACTGGTACCAAATAAGCCCTCCCACCAAAAACTACTATAAAACTGGATAAAATATACTAGGCAATTGTTTTCAGGCAATGAGCAATAAATAGCACAAGCTGTGATCCTTGAGAGAAGGGAAACTCATGACATGGCCCCTATGATTGCCCTGGATGTCTGCCTGGGGAAATTTTCCTGCCCATGGAAGACAGAGCTGGAGCCCAAGCAGAGCACGGTGGTTCCATTAAGCTGAGGAGACAGCGAATAGAGCTCAGGGTTGTGAAAGTACCTGGAATCTGAAAGGCAGGGCACTGGAGAGGAGGGAGCTGTGCAGAAGTGGGTACCAAAAGTCTGTATGGAAGCTCCCCATGAGCCTTTGGCCAAGGGCTGGGCTATGCATACAGCGGTGAGACTATATAAGATTTCCCAGAGAGCAGTTGCAGTGGAGTTGAAAATGGAACAAGAAATTAGTGGTGAAGCAGCGGTGGGAAATGTTGGCCTTCAGGCCCAGCCAGAATGGAGAGAACTTGATAAAACTGATGGTGTCCAGCTGAGATGGCAAAAAGGTAATATTTTAGTAGTAAAAAACACATTCAAGAAGAAGGTCTGATCCACCCTAAAAACTCCTAAAACCAAGTCTCAACAAGATTCACAGAGAAGATACAGATGGAGGTTGTGTGGTATCAAGTTAGAGGGGTTTGAAAATGACTTGGCTTTCTATAGATCTACCCTTTAAAATGTATTTTAAAAGCCTACACAAGGTTAGGGTCATTCATTAGCTTGCTAGAACTGCCTGCTAGAACAAAAATCAACACTCTTCAGAGGCAGAACAGAATATAGATCACATTACCCAGTAGAAAATAAATATTTAATAGACATGCAAAGAAAAAGGAAAATATAACTCATACAAAAAAGCAATCAATAAAAACCAAGCCTGTTACAGATGTTAAAATATTAACTGCAGAGGAATCTGGGTGGACAGTATATAAGAACTCTGTGTACTGTTTTTACAACTCTTCTATAAATCAAAAATTATTTTCAAATTAAAAATGTAAATACTCTGCAAAAGGATGAAACTAGACCACTATCCTACACCATACACAAAAATTAACTCAAAATAGATTAAAAACTTGACTATAAGACCTGAAACCATAAAACTCCTAGAAGAAAACATAAGTGGTAACCGCCTTGACATGGGGTTTGGCGATGATATTTTTAACTTGACACTGAAAGCAAAGGCAACAAAAGTAAAAATAAATAAGTGGAACCTACATCAAACTAAAAAGCTTCTTCACAGCAAATGAAACCATCAACAAAATGAAAAGAAGAAAAAATCTGCAAATCATATATCTGGTAAGGAGCTAATAACCAAAAAATATAAAGAAATCATACAACTCAATAGCAAACAAACAACCCAATTAAAAAATAGG